AGAGTTTCAAAAAAAAAATCGGTTGGATTTTTTTTAGATATTGAGGTTTTAGTGACGTCATGATTTCTGAGTTTTCGACCAAAAACGGCATATGTTCAAAAAATCATATAAAACCACAGAATAGACATACAGACATTCTGTAAACGCCATTAGACTGCCAATACCATGTACAGTCTGTCTTAAAAGTACCGCGCAAAGTGACGGTGGATCCATCAAGCCTGACCAAGGAAGAGCCTGCTCTAATTTGCAAGTCACCGAACTAATTAACCTGGGGAATGAACGAGGATGTCAATTGATTCGGTGACTCAAATTTAGCAGGCCCTTCCTCGGTCAGGTTTGATGGATCCACCGTTACTTTGCGCGGTATCTACTTTTAAGACAGACTGTACAATCAAATGGTTATCTTCGATTATTGGTTGTCGTTTCGCATTTTCCAAAATCTTGAACTGAATTTTGGCAATTTCTCGTGACTACTTCACGACCATGATACATGCATTTCTTAAATTGAACTTCTTGAACCAAACACGTACACATATGATAAAATGTATGTCACCATCGTGTTCTACGCCCAAAAGTACCCATTAACGTTGACGTCGCCGGCGCCATGATGGTGTGATTTGCTTGAGCTGAGCTGAGGGCGGTACCCTCGATAGATTTGGCGTAATGCGGCCTCGACCTCCGCCAGCTCCTTTTGCGTGTGTTCCAGCTCTCCCTAGCTGAACACCCGCGGGGCGTTTCCCTGGGCTGAGGGGCAGGCGTGGGCTGGGTGCGGGCCGCCGCAGCCGGTGCATGTGTGGGGGCGTCGACATGAGGCGCCGGCAGAGCACCGGCCGTTATTCCAGCGGAAGCACGGCTCGGGGAGGCCGGGGCGCGGCGCCGGACGGCGGCCGGCGGTGTCGGGACCGAGCGGAACGCCTGAGAGCGAGCGGCGGGACGCCAGGAACCCTTGCACGCATTCGGTGAGCTCTGCCGGGCTGTGGTAGTCCTGCGGGTACTGTGCTAGGTGCGTCCGTCCCTGGCCGTCCAGCTCCCTCAGTGCCGACAGGGTGAGGCCGGCTGCGTGACCGTGCAGCCACACCGCGTACATGGCCCATTGCACGGCCATCGCCGGGAAAAAGTAGGAGCGGTAGGCGACCAGGATGACGAGCCCGCGCAGGTAGTCGGCCGTAGATGTGCAGGACTGGGCTGGTGCAGTCCCGCCGCGACCTCCAAATGGGCGCGGGTGTAGTAGGTCGTTGATGTCCACAACCTTTGTGCGGTTGCGGAGGCGGCGAAGAGTATCTGGGGCGACCGTGGGCAGCTTAAGACGGTGGCGGCGGTTGGGTGGACTTTAATGATGCCTTGCTTGCGCGAAGAAAATCCACCGTCGGCCCCGGACTGGGCGGCGAGCTGGTCTTGCGACGATGTCGGGCGTCTCCTCTCCGCCGCTTATGGCGTGGCGGGGCAGGCGAGTCTGGCCCGGACTCGGGGTCAGATTTGGGGGTGTCTGCGTCGGACAGCGTGGAGTCGACGTCGGAGAGCGGCAGAGTGTCGCTGTCCCTGGTGGCCTCGATTGGAGGTGAGGCAGGCCCGGCGGGGCGCGGCGTCTCCAAAGCTTCCGGCGGTGCGGCGGTGGGCGGTGCGGCGCGGCACGTTTAAGACAGACTGTACGGCCCTCCAGCAAAAGAGTGGTTGGTTAGCCTATGTGCTTTTGGTGCAATAACTTTGAATGACAGAGACACTCCTGTAAAATGACTCAATAGAAATGACAAGAGGGTTCGTGCACACACTTCGGCAATGGTTTTCAACAGCCATTAGACGTATTCATCAATGCAGATCGATTATTGTGATGATGGCAACCAACCACTTAATACCTGGAGGGCCGTACGTCAAACACGTACCCATGATTTCGCCCAAGAAGGGGTCACCTGCTCTTGAAGGAGCCCGCGAGTCACCCGGGGCCCAGGGTCAGCCCAGGCAGGGACGTATCCAGAACCTTTCGATGGGAGGGGGCACGGTGGGTCCGGTCTCACTGGCAGTCGGGTCTCTTTAAAACGGCCTTTGCCTGAGAAAATGTGGAAAATTGGCAAGTAAAATATCATTTTTGCCGGAGGAGTGTACCTTATATGCACAGTATTTTACGAGCGAGCGGGCTCCTCAGAGTCGCCAGTGTGTGGTGCGCTCAGAAGTGCTAATGAAAGGTAGAAGTAGTAGTTTATTAAAAAGCCATTCACAAGACAAGTGGCTATTATGGCCTTCACGTCAATAAAATCGGATCATAACATGCAGGGTAAAATACACACTCACGATGTTACTGTTGAAAATGGTTTTATTTTGTCATTTATATCATATATGTGTATCTAATAAGCAGAAGACCGCGGCAAGTAATTCACGCGAGCGATGTACGGAAATTTAAATTTATGTGGAACACTGTATGTGAGGCGTTTCGGGGATTTTGTATTTTTTTGGAGCCTACCGTTAATAGAACCACTGTAACTCTAAATATTTGTTTTTATTTATTTCATTTTCTTGGCTTACCTAACATTTTTGGTCCTCCGGGCCGCAATGGTTTGAGATCGCTATCAGAGGGTTTAACCTTTAAATATAAAAACATGGATCAGCTATTAAGAAATAGAACATCATTAAGAACAAAAGCGACAAAAATCGCGAAGTCGATCGAAGAAGCTAGACTTCTCGAGCACACCGATGAAGATGATTTAGCTTTTCTGATATTTAATGGCGAAAATCTTATTCGGGAAATGAATAAGGTTCAAGATGAACTGGACAGTTTCGAAGTCTATGACGACTCAAAACACCTAGAGTTATTAACAGAGCAGCTTTTCAAAGGAAATCGACTGTTAAAACGACTCGAAGCGATGCCGACCACCACGAACCGTCTCGAGCGAGTGGCGAGCATGACGGTGGAGCCAACGGTAAGCCACATTACAATACCGAAATTCAACGGAGACTTGATGGCTTGGGCGGAGTTTAATGAAATTTTCAACTCCTTCGTCCACAGTAATATCAGATATAGCGACGTCCAAAAGTTCGTTATTTTGAAGGCACACCTTGGTGGGGCGGCATCCCAAGCTGTAGAAGGTGTTCCATTTACTGTATGCCTGGCCTATTCAAATACATTAGCCAGAGGGGTGTGGTAATAACTGGTGTAAGCAAATTGACCACGGTCAAAAATGCATTACCAGAATGCACTTAAGCCAACATTTTGGGATGGTCTCGTTCCTAAGTCGGCTAAGAGCTTCGGTCCAGAAAATAAATTTATCGTTGGCATACAGTAAAATACATACCAAACTCGGCCGGTGATAAATTTTCAAGACCTCAGTCCTTACTGATTTTTGAACTCGGCCTTCGGCCTCGTTCAAAAATCCAGTAAGGACCTCGGTCTTGAAAATTTATTTACACCGGCCTCGTTCAGTATTATATAACACCGCAGAGGGATATATTTTGGCAAGATCAATACTTAATGAGCGATACAACCAGACCGATAAGCGACGGGAGGTTATCATAGGCCAAATCATGGACATTCCGGCTGTAGCAGACGATCATAACTTGAAAGCATTGCGCTCATTAGTGGATAAAATCGCAGCCTGCATACGCAGCTTGGAGAGCCTTGGCATCCCATCTTATTCGCTATCTTCAATCATCACGCCGGTCATCAAATCGAAGTTGCCAGATGCATGGAGGCTGGGTTGGGCTCGTAACGTTCATGAGACCACAGGGGATCTGCCGAGTTTACTTAAAGGAAGACTGCCACCTTCAAAAAGTTTTCTCAGATCGGCCTATGATTTATTCCCTGGACAAAACAAAATTTTAGAATTCACCTGACAAAGTATCATCACGTGAATCGCGAAAAAAATTGTCGATTATCATACAATTATCAATCGGTTAATGTCTAGCGACAATGTTTACACATCACTAGACTTCAAGGTCATAAGATTATTACATTTTATTTGAAAAAGTAAGGTATTTTATGATTTACTAATATATGATTTCATAAGAAATTGGCCATGTTTAATTTATTTTGCATTTAAGTTCGTAAAACATTTAAAAAATCATGGCTCATTTGGAATGGGTCTGGCCCATGTTAAACCCCATTTCCCACACTTTTTTGGAAAAATGAACTACTGAATATATAAGTTTAACTTTTATTTTGACACTCCAAAATTCTTCTCTGATCTCGAAACAATCAAAGTTTTGACATATATTTACCAAAAGATAAGAAAATTCATGTTTCAAAGTTATCGATAAACAGTAGAGATGTCGGTTTTCTTGGACTAAAAAAATGGCATCAAACTGAACTTTGGTCTCCGATTTCTCGCAAACGGGTTCGAATTTCGGAAAACCGACTTCAGTCTGGGACATAGGTGGCTCAGCTCTAGTGAAAACCGTTTTGTGAAAAAAAGGTGGCAGTCTACCTTTAAATATCTTGAGCGGGAAATCGCGCTCAGAGAAGATGCCGCATCCCCTATCCGGTCCTTTGCTGGTCCCTCACGAATTCTACCACCCAGACAGCAGCCAACAGCCGCCAGCACCCTCCGCGTGAGCACACGCCCATCCAATGGCTCAACATGGACGTGTGTTGCCTGTGGGCGGTATAAACACGGTCTATCGCGGTGTTACGCATACCAGAATATGTCAGTACAAGAGCGTTGGGCAGCTGTGCGTTACGCCGGTTTATGTTTTCAGTGCCTGGGCCCGCACCAGTACCGGTCCTGCAAGAGCACTCCGTGTCCTCGATGTGGTGCTCCACACCATTCAAGCTTGCACGACACTGAACTTTCTCACGATAGTAGCCGCCCTCAGAGTAGGACGACGGCAGCACCTTCTTCTGATAACCCACAGTTGAATTCTGACCAGCCCCAGCAGACGTCATTCCAAAATCCGCCACTTACTTCGCCGGTTACTAGCGATCATCATGATACAGGTGGTCTCAACAAGGAGCCAGTGCACCACCACTATAACGCCGCTACTAATGGAAGTTGTTTCATGATGACAGCGCTCATCGAAGTCGCCGGCCCCGCGGGTACTCAAAAGGCACGGGCTCTGATTGATGGCGGTTCCGATTCGTCCTTCGTCAAATCATCCCTTGCAGACGCCCTCGGGGTATCAGCCATGGCACAGGGAATATTCGCCTGCGTTGGATTTAAAGAAAGAGAAGAAGAGGCTAGAATTCATGAAAGGGTCAGATTACATCTGAAAAGTCGGCATTCATCTGAGTCATGTTGTTTGGACTTTTGGAAGTCCGATACGTTATGCGCACCGATGCGCGTGCCATGTAGTCCTGATCTGTTCACAGAACTTGCAAATTTTGAGCTTGCCGATGATTTTAGCGGAGCTTCCATTGACATGCTGATTGGCGGCGACCAAATGTATGATGTGGTTCTTCGAGACGACACTGTCAAATTATCAAAACGGCTCTGTGCTGTCAAGACGCTCTTCGGATATACCTTGCATGGGAGCGCTTCTGACGCGTGTCGTTTAGTCCCCTTACATACGTATCACATCCAGTCATTGGAAAACATGTGGACCTTGGACACGATTGGCATAACAGACAAAGAAGTGCGAACGACAAGCTGTGATATTGTACCAGTCTGGAACTCATCTGAAAATAGATATGAAATGCCCCTGCTATGGAAAGCGGATGAGCGGCCGGTCTCCAACTTACGCGCGACTGACATGCGAACTAGACGCACCATGCAGAAAATGAGCCACCAAGCACTCACCGATTATGATAACGAGATAAAACAGCTTATCGATAACCGAGTTGTTGAAGTTGTGGACGCCGTCACAGAGACGAACTCAGTGTTCTTTCTACCGCATAGAGGCATTTATCGCAACGGAAAGTCACGAATCGTTTTCGACGGCTCCGCAGCCGACGGTTCCGGCAAGAGTCTCAACGAATATTTTGATGCTGGCGAGAACTTACTTCACCGCTTGCCAGCAGTAGTTACTCAGTTCCGGACAGGTCCCATAGGTTGTCAGGCGGATATTAAGTCGGCTTTCCATCAGATTTGTGTACGAAAAGAAGATCAACAGTATCTGCAGTTCCTGTGGAACGGGAACTGTCTTCGATTCCGAAGAGTTCCTTTTGGTCTCGCCTGTTCTCCATTTTTACTCTTAAAAACCCTTTCATATCACTTAGAACAAAACCTCAAGAATGACCAAATGCTGTTACAAGCAGTCAAAAGGGCACTCTATATGGATGATTTGTGCTTGAGTTTCAGCTCGGAAGAAGAGGCCGACAAAAACATGAATGTTTTGAATGCAGTTATTGCAGTTATCGAGCGAGCCGGTATGAAACTTCACAAGATTCACAGGACCAGGGATAACGCCGAACCTTCCAAAGTGCTTGGAATGCTCTGGGACACCTCCAGTGACAAATTAGCTGTCACTGTCCCGGATGTCACCACACCTTCTACCAGACGTGGGCTTATCTCAGTTATTTCCAAGGTGTTTGATCCTTTGGGCGTTCTTTCTCCCTGGATCATACGAGGCAAAATTTTATTTCAGTCCACATGGCATGAGGCCAAATCCACGTCATGGGACGATCGCTTGTCCAGTGACATACAAACGGCAGTAAATGCTTGGTGGAGCCATCCACCCAGCTGGAAAATGTGGTTCCCACGCGCCATTGCAGATTTCATGACGAGCACTGACGTCCGATTTCATGTTTTCTGCGACGCCTCAATCAAGGCATATTGTGCCACTGTTTACTGCTGCCATGATGGGGAGTCCATACTGGTCATAGCCAAAAGTCGACTCGCCCCGCTCTCACCGACTCTCACAATTCCCCGCTTAGAGCTGATGGCCGCGCTGATTGGTGCGCGACTCATGAAATTTGTCTGCTCAGCAGTTGGCTTGGAAGCGCCCTGTGTAGTTTACTGGACCGACTCAATGGACGTTTTATATTGGATTCGCCAGACCAAGCCAGAGAAACCGTTTGTGGCAAATCGAGTGCGTGAGATATGTCAGTTATCATCGGTGGACCAGTGGCAGTACATTGAAGGTGTCCGCAATCCGGCTGATCTGGGAACTCGAGGCATCACACTCATGAAGTTGAGTGTCAGTAAGGATTGGTGGAACGGACCCAGCTTCCTCTTAGAGGCGCTCTCTCAGCCAACATTAAGCCAACCGGAAGCCGCCGGACAGCCAGAGGAAGCGGACGACGACGATGGATAAGCGAAAAGCAGGCTGCTTTTCGGATGGGGAGAATGTTGAAAATGGTTTTATTTTGTCATTTATATGTGTATCTAATAAGCGGAAGACTGCGGCAAGTAATTCACGCGAGCGATGTACGGAAATTTAAATTTATGTGGAACACTGTATGTGAGGCGTTTCGGGGATTTTGTATTTTTTTTTTTTGAGCCTACCGTTAATAGAACCAGTGTAACTCTAAATATTTGTTTTTTATTTATTTCATTTTCTTGGCTTACCCAACAGTTACACAACCTAAAATATGCATATAGCTCAGGATAAAAAAACACCACCTGCACGGCATCATGATCAAAAACGCGTTCATCACGTGTCTCGTCTCGAGAGTAGGTGGGCCTTCAGGGCTCGCCTGAACCGCGGACCTCGCAGGTTCCGCACCGACATGGGCAGATCGTTCATGAGGTGGGGCGAGCGGTATACGAACCGTCGCCGGCCCGCCTCCGAACGGATGGGTGGCACGTGCTGGAGATCGTCCTGTCTGGTGTGCCGGACATGGCCATGATGGTCCCGGTTGAGGCAGACCTGACGGGCGATGCATTTGGGCTGGCTAGAGGAGAGGACTTTGTCAAGGAGGCAGAGGGATTGGTATTGGAAGAGTTGAGACGAGTCGAGCCACCCCAGCCTGTCTCGCCGGCACAGCTGACACGCGGTCAAACTTTCGTTTGCCCGCGATCACGCGAGCCGCAAAGTTTAGCAGCTTCTGGATGGTTGCGAGACGGCCAGGGCGGTGACTATCTCGGGAAGGGTGTCAGGAGGAAGGAAGTGGCGGAGGTGGGATAGTGTTGCGAGGATACCGCAGCACCTACGCGAGACAGCCCTCACGTGCGCGTCCCATGACAGCTGCTGGTCGAAGACCACACCAATATTTTTGACCTCAGTGCTGGGCGTCAGGCACGTGTCCTGGTATCTGATTTTGATCGTCGGGAGGTTGCGCAAATTTTGTCTAGAACCAAAAGGCCGTCAGATGCGCTGGTGTGGGGGTTTTACAGGCGCCGTTGCGGGTTCTTAGGGCTCAGAGACACTGGTTCATCATCATTGACGTGTTTATGGCCCTGAAAAGTGGCCTGAAAGTGGAAAGTGGTCCTTCATAGGCCGGCAAGGACACTCAGAGGCTGGTGAAACGCCCTCAGAGTCACTGGTACGTGGCCCGCGAGAGGCGCCGGTGTGGGGACTTTCAGAGCCGCCGATGTAGGCCCTCAGAAGCGCTGGTGTGGGACCCTTAGAGATGGCGTGATGGGCCTCGCAGGTGCCGTTGTGGGGCCTTCAGAAACACTGTTACGGGCCGTGGGTTATCACACACGGATGTGGAGCAATTGCAGGTGATCCCTCATTGGCCGGCAAGGTCTTTCAGAAACCGGCATATTGGGCCTTTATGGAGATATATAAGTGTGGCTACATAGGAGCCCATAACGTGCTCTCACAAGCCCTCTGGTGTCCTTACGAGTTTAAGCGCGGCCAGCGTGGACCCTCTGCCACCAATTGGCGCCACAGGGTCCCTCGGGTTCGAAGGAACCCTAAACTCGAGAACGGGCACGTGCACCCTCGCTCCCTGGCTATGCCACTGAATCCAAGTGATCAGGGACCTTAAGGTAGGTAATCAGGGCCGCTCAGATGACCAGAGGCTTTCAACTGATCAGGGGCCCACCAGGTGACCAGGGGACCCTCTGATAACCAGGGGCCCCTCAAGTAACCAGGAACCCCTAAATAACCAGGGCCCCTCACTTCTCAGGTAACTGCAAGAGTCCCTCAGATAACCAGGGACCGGCAAGGTCTCTAAAATCCATTTTGGACAAGGCCGTTATTGTTATCAGGTGCGAGCCCTTTGACACCACCTGAGGGCCCTTTCAGGCCTTTTGAGGGCTGTTTAACGTCACTATGGTTTCCTTTGAGGCCTCCTAAGGGTCCTTCGAGCAATCGAGGGGCCTTTGAGACATTTTGAGGGCCGCCTGACGCCAGCTGAGGACCGTAGGACACCAGCTGAGGACCATTTGGGGACTTCTGATGGCCATTTGACGCCAGCTGAGGGCCCTCTGACACCAGCTAAGGGTCCTTTAAGGTATTCGGAGGGCCGCTTGTCGCCCGCTCAGGGCCCTCTGACATCAGCTGGGGGCCCTCTGACGCTAGCTCAGGGCCCTATGACGCCTTTGAGGCCTCCTGAGGTCCGTTTGACGTCAGCTGAGGGCCTTTTGGGGCCATCTGGCGGCCCTTTGATGCCTTCTAACGGCCCTTTGAGGCCTTTTAAGGGCCGGCTGTGACGCCATCTAAGGATCGTTTGACTCCAGCTGAGGACCGTTTGAGGCCTTCTGATGGCCATTTGGCGCCAGCTGAGGGCCCTCTGACACCAGCTGATGGCCCTCTGAGTTAACATCAGCTGGGGGCCCTCTGACGCAGGCTCAGGGCCCTTTGACGCCCTTTAACCCTATTCCTGGCGGGCTCCGCCGGGACAAGAAACTGGCGGGGGGGGGGGGCCGATTCGGCCCCCCCTGAGATCTCGAGAACGAAGCAAGATAGCGACAAGCGGTAAACGGCATCGGATACGCACGGCCAAGATCTACAATTTTTACAAAGGTTATTTTCAGGTCAGGTCAAAGATGACGTCACAGGGGTCGAAAAAGTCAAAATGGCGGCACTAGATATGGAGAGAGTTTTTCTCGAATAACTTTCGAATTAGTCAAGATAGGAACAAACTAAGGGCATCATCGTGATCCTCTCGTCAATCCGCATCGAATGATATATATGTTGACCTCGAAAGGTCAAGGTCAAACGTTGACCTCAGGTCACGTGACCTCGAGGTCATCATGCATATCATTCGATGCGTCTTGACGAGCTGAACACAATGAGACCATCCACGCGTCTGTATCTTGTTCCTGTACGGAGTTATTGGCCAAAAACCTTTGGTGACCTTTGATGACGTCACATGACCTCACAGCTGCCCAACAGCAAAACAGACCTCAAGGTAGTGAAGGTTGATCGTATATGAAGTCATGTATGGTATATGGGGCCATTCCGACCCGTTTTAGTGGTAAAAACAGGGAGTTGATTTTTCCCCCATTGACTTATAATGGGGAGGTCGCGAAATTGACCTGACCTTAGGTCACCGATATCAAAATTCCGAGATATACAAATTGCACATACTGGTACCCTAACTAAACCCTGAAGAGAAGAAATTGATCGGTCAAAAACTCTAGCTCTGGCGTGATTGCAAACTTTTCTGAGGTAGCGTCACCAAACCGCCTCTGGTGACCTGACCTGAGGTCAGATCAACTCAAAATTTTCAGACATGTTGCGTAGAAGCCTTTTAGGAAAAGTCAGAAAATTTGAGCTTCCTAGCTCAACGCGTTTGGGAGATATAACCAAAAAACCTCAGGGGGGGGCTCCTGAGGCCCCCCCCCCGCCAGGAATAGGGTTAAGACCTTCTGAGTTCCATTTGACGGTCAGCTGAGGGCCCTTTGAGGATATCTGAGGGCCCCTTAAGCCCATCTGAGGGCCCTTTGAGGCCATCTGAGGGCCCCTTGAGGCCATCTGAGGGCCCTTTGAAGCCATCTGAGGGATCTTTGAGGCCATCTGAGGACCCTGTGACGCCATCTGAGGGCCCTTTGAGGCCTTCTCAGGGCCGTTGAAATTTCCGACGATTAGAGGCCTAATTGAGGCTTGAGCCCCTAATCCTTCGAGTTGGCCCCCCAACTCGAATGGGGGGGGCACGGGCCCGTGTGCCCCCCCCCCCTTGTGTGCACCCTTGCAAGACGCAACACGACTCGAGACATTACAAAACAGAGCTGCACGACTTGTCACAGGGGGCCTCTTCAGAACATCGACAAATAAACTCATGCCAGAGCTAGGATGGGAAAGACTACACACGCGACGAAAAATCCACAGACTCTCATTCTACCATCAACTCAACACCACAGAACACCAACCACAATACATAAGAGCTTTAATGCCAAACACCCGTTCACAAGACACAAACAGACACCTAAGAAATGCGAACAAACACACCACCGTAGCCAATCGCACAACGGCATACAAAAAGTCATTCATTCCTACAAGTGACAACACAACCAGGCAATGGAACGAACTTTCACACACCACAAAGCAACTCACCCACAAGCACTTCAAGAAGCAACTTCGCCAGCAGCTGGGGGAGCCCGACACTTCCCCGTATTGCAATTTCGGCTCCAAACTAGTTAGGTAACATATTTCATGCTAGATTGAGAATGGAAATGACACAACTCAATGCTCATCAACATATTTGTCAAAAAGTACCCTCACCGGAATGCTCATGTGGATATAACAATGAAAACATAAAACACTTTGCACTTAACAGCCCCATCTACGATCATCAGATGACAAGAATGTTTGACCGATTGTCAGAAACATTGCAAATCAATTTTCACAGATTAGCACCCAAAAAGCAAATAGGTATATTACTTCATGGTATGAACCTAAGCAGTGCCAGTGGTCGTGAAGTGGTACTTCACTTTCAAAATTTCCTCTTCGAAACAAAACGATTCAGTTGAACATCTTTACGTACGGGCGGTTCCGCCTCCGGGGAGGCGACTAGTGGTGCTTATTCCATCCGTCTTATTATTTAACTGTACCGTGGCGGCGGTTACAGTCATTATGTTTCCTGTCTATCTACTGATGTTTCTTTTGTTTCGTGTATATTTATTTAATTAGTTTGATTTCAGACACGACGCTGCAATTTAAGCGAATCGCTTATGCGTCTGTCTGCAGCATGTTAAAAAGCAATGACTTACAAAATGTTTAATAAACTGGTTGATGATGATGGTGATGATGATGAAGTTTACGTAGATCTCTAGCTCAACTTGAATCGCGGCCGTATTGGTGCACAGACGTTCTCTGAATATGTATGTTCATACGTACCTACTAGAATCTGAGGCGAGTGTGTTTGGATGTTCACTAAAATCGTCAACGGAGTTTGGGAACCACAAATAAACACCGACACGGCTGATTGTTTGATGACTAATGCGTCTGCGGTTCCTCAAACGAGCTACGAGCGGTGCTTTAACGTCAGTCGCCACCGTTGCACACTGGGCCGGGGGCCCGGAAAAGTGCTAGAAATTATCTGTGATTGAGTTGTTGATCTCAGTGACAAGCAAACATACTAAAAACGAAGTGGGACTGCTTAACCCTCGCCGGACCTATTGTCGGACCCCCACCCCCTCGGCCAGCCGAGGGGGGAGGGTTGGTACGACCCCTTTTCTTCGTTTCGCCTCTAATGGAGCTAGAGCCTCGCGGAAAAAACAAGCGTGTGCGCCGTTTCAAGACGGAACGATTGATACCCGATTTTAAGGTCCCAGGTCAACCGATTACCTCTGAGG